ATTATACTTTACCTTGTAAGTTCTCTACTTGGAGGGATGAGCATCACTCACTTTTCTAGCTTTACCCAAGCCATGAAGAGTGAGTAGTTCCTCATTCACTCTTTAGTAAGAGGTGATGAATATGTATAAATTATCCGAAAGTTATATTTGTGTATTTCTTGTATGCTTTAATACTTTATATTTCACTTGCTTATTTAATGATTGAATGCATCTAGCAAAGCTAAGGTACTTCGTATAACCATGGGTTCTCTCTATGTCACGGATGACTCTTCCATAGAAAAACTCGTTGGTTGAAGGCAAGTACCCCGACTAGATCTTCATGACAACATTTCAATCTTCACCATTATTGTGCTTTATCTAAAGAATGGAACATTAATGCCACGGTTGGATGCCTTGTAGAAATACTTGCTTGTTTGTAGAAGGATTGAGTCTCAACAATTCTTGTAAACTTCTAGAAAGTCATCGGAACCATGTGTTTAATTCTCACAGTCCATCTTTATCTTTCGATTAACTTGTTGTTGACACGGGAGTTAATTGAGTTATAAAATACAAATATAATAAACCGGATGATTAACTACAAGTTCTGATCCTCGAACTAAAGGGTGACTGTTTACATTTGAATCTATCTTATATTTTGTCTAGAAAACTCTTGAAAAGAATTTTACATTATATTCAGGAAATCCCATAACTTCAAACTCTCAAGGTTTCCAATTACTTGGTCTCTATCACTGCTACTTCAAAACTCTAATCATAGTTCCCTGTGGATTCGACTCCGGACTTAACTGGATTATTATTACAACTTGACCGTNAGAAATACTTGCTTGTTTGTAGAAGGATTGAGTCTCAACAATTCTTGTAAACTTCTAGAAAGTCATCGGAACCATGTGTTTAATTCTCACAGTCCATCTTTATCTTTCGATTAACTTGTTGTTGACACGGGAGTTAATTGAGTTATAAAATACAAATATAATAAACCGGATGATTAACTACAAGTTCTGATCCTCGAACTAAAGGGTGACTGTTTACATTTGAATCTATCTTATATTTTGTCTAGAAAACTCTTGAAAAGAATTTTACATTATATTCAGGAAATCCCATAACTTCAAACTCTCAAGGTTTCCAATTACTTGGTCTCTATCACTGCTACTTCAAAACTCTAATCATAGTTCCCTGTGGATTCAACTCTGGACTTAACCAAATTATTACTACAACTTGATCGCCTCCACTTGGGTGTACACATTTCGGATCAAGTCAGACGCCAACTTCAAAAAGTCTGTTACCCACTTACTCAGCATCAAGTAAGATTAGGATGAAAGCCTAAGAAGTTACCTCACTCGTTTTAATGGGGAGGCTTTCTAGATTAAAGAGCTAGATAACAAAGTCACCATGGCTGCATTTATCGCATGCCTGTACTCATCCAGCTTTATATTCTCAATTTTGAAGAAGCTGTCAAAGAGCACACCAGAATTACTATCAAAAGGCCCATAAAATATATGAATATTGAGGAAGTCACCAAGGCCAAGCGAGGTGAGTGCTCACGTGGAGGGGAGAAGAGACAGTAGAGAGGCCGAGAAGACAAAAAAGGAGATTGGGAACAAAAAGGGTAAGACAGAAAGGGTACTAGCCAAAGACCACCTGGGCCTTGCCCCTTAGAGGGAGCGGTAGGCCTTCACGCCGCTCAAGGTCTTAGTTGAGCATATTTTGCTTTGGATTCAGGACAACCCTACGATGTGTTGGCTGAAAAAAATGAAGTCTCCCCCAAATCGTAAGAACTTGAACAAGTATTATCGCTTCTACTGCAACCATGGCCACGACACTGATGACTACTTTGAACTCAAGAGACAGATTGAGGATCTCATACAATGTTGCCAATTGTAGTAATACGTGGTAGGTAGAGGCCAGGCCCAACCACCAGGTCATAACTGAGAGAGAGAACCAACAACCCCTAAGAGAAATCTAGGCGATCTTCGGAGGGCTTGGAGGAGGAGGTGACTCCAACTTAGTCAATAAGGCACACGCCAAATAGGCTAGGCACACGAATGACCTACGCCAATTGAAGTCTCACAGGTAGGGAGATGGAGAGGTTATCTCCTTCTCAAACAAAGACTTGGAGAGGATCCAGCACCCCCATGAGGACCTGTTGGTACTAACCATGACGGTCGCTAACTTTTAAGTAAGAAGGATCCTTGTGGACAGTGGTAGCTCCACCGACATCCTGTTCGCAGAAGCATATGCCAACCTTTGTCTTGACATGGAGAGGCTATAACCCATGATGCTCGTCAACTACCAAGTAAGAAAGATCCTTGTGGACAATGGCAGTTTCATCGAGATCCTATTCGTAGAAGCATACGACAACCTTCTTCTTGGCAAGGAGAGGCAAGGTGTACCCCTTAGACTCCATCACTCTACTAGTCACTATGGGTATAACACTGAGAAGCTCCACCATAATGGTAAATTTCTTAGTGTTGGACTACCGTCAACCTATAACATCATCTTAGGGCATCCTACACTCAACACCCTAAAAGGGGTGCCGCCATCCACCTATCACCTCATTCTCTATTTTCCAACCCATGTGGAATTAGAGAAATCCAAGGAGACCAAGTTTCTACCAGGGAGTGGTATGCCGCCTCCACGAGGACCAGACCAGGCCCAGCTTAGAGGCCTAGTTTAGAAATGCAGACTAGACCCAACTCAAATATATAGGTCAAGCCTAGCATAGGATCAAAGAAGCTTAGTCAGATCAGCCTCACCATCTTGAGAGACTTAGTCCACAATTAACATACGAGGAGATCTTCGTGGGACACAATCATCGAGTGCATGTCACAACGTCCACATAATTGCCTCGCCTATTATGAGAATGGTGCTACCTCCACCAAACTGCCTAACTTATTACGAGAATGATACCTCAATCTATTAGGAGACACCTATAAATTGTAAGCCTACGTACACAAAGGGGGTATCACTTACATTTGATCACTCTATACTCCTTGAGTAATAAAATACTTAGGGCACTGTAGCCCTTTATTGTGGAGTAGGTCATCCTGATTGAATCACTTAATTTGTGTTTTCTTGTGTTGAGCCTCCTTCTAATTATTGCATTAAATACTTGACAGGTAGTGCATAAACACATTTTGTGCACCATCAACAATCATACAAAAAATTAAAAAAAATTCAATAAATTTTCACATATTTTTTAGATTAAAATACGTACATTGATAAAATGAAGTCCTTTATTTTCAAAAATCTGGTCCTCACTTCACTTCATTAACCACCATATAGCACTTGTGACATATAAAAGGAATGAAAATTACCTTCTAATTCATAAAATCCCTAACAAAAATAAAAAAACACTTTGAATGTAGTTAGACCATTATAGCAACAATACCAATAAAAAAACAGGGATGAAAAATTACATATAGAGAACACCAAAAATTGCATTCAAACCCATTAGTGTAGTAACAAAGCCACCCGTAGAACATAATTAAAACACAACAAAGTGTTACCATTGGGTTATAGGGGTTTTTCCTAACCTATTTATCTAGAACATCTTGCTATAGGGAGAAAGCAAGAGGAAGCATTGGTGAGAGGAGGGGTTGGATGAGAAAGAGAGATAAACATCTGATGGCTTGAATGGGGATGAGGAAAGAGAGTCTGAATGAGAGAGATAGAGACGTATGAATGAGAATGAGGAGACAAAAGGAGTGCAGAGGCCAATGATGTGGGCGGGAAAACAAATTCAAGCCTTGGTGATAAAGAGAGATAAGCGGTTGATACATGGTCATCAAGAAATAGTCTGAATGAGAGAGACAGAGAAATATGAATGGGAATGAGGAGATAAAAAAATGTAGTAGTGCCCCTATAGGAGTGTAGAGTCTTATGATGAGAGGCATGCTCATGGGTGGGAAATTAGAATTGAAGATTAATTAGGATTGTCAGATAAATAATTCTAAAGCAATTTGAGTCGCAAAAAAAAAAAAAACTCAAGAAGTTTGAACTGTTAACTCCCTTATTATATAGATATTAGGTGTAATCTGTGCTTGGTAAATGAGAACTAATGCATTGGGGAGAGGGGAATTCAATGTGAATGGTGAGAGAGAAGTTGGTGACCATTAAATAAGTGTTTTTGAGATCCTCACATAGATTTATTAAAACTTGTCCTATTTTATATTACTAGTTATTTTAGGCACAGAGTAATAAAAAAAATAGTCAACAATAAATATATTTGTATTTACATCCAAAATTAAATTACAAAAATATAGGAGAGGGAAATAAATTTAAGCACTAATAGTAGTGGGGGCGAACAGTGATAATGATGGTGGACGACAATGTTGGTGGTAGGACAACGATAGTTATAATAGATGATGACAACTGATTGTGATGGTGGTGGTGGGGTAGCGGGGGTGATTGTGGTGGTGGGGGCACTAATATGGTGGTGGGGTGGCGGTGATAGTTGTGGTGGTGGGGCGGGTGGTGATGGTTGTTGTGAAAGAGGTGATGGTAAGATGGTAGTAGTGGTGGCAATAACGGTGGTAGTGGGGCGATGGTTGTGGTAGGGTGACGACAATGGCTGTAGTGGTGATTCTGGTGGGCGGAGGGGGTGGTGGTGATAAATGTGTTGGTGGGGCGGTTTCCAAATACTATTTTGTTTTTAAAGTACTTATGAAAAGTTATAAGTATTAAAAACACTTTTAAAAAGTCATCTCAAACACACCTTATGAACCTATTTTTTTTTTATTAAATTTAGATTGTTAATATTAGTTGTTGAATTAATTTAAAAGTAAAGTTTAAAGAGATATCGACCGCGAATAGTAAAAGTTATTTTATTTATTTTTTAAAATTTGAATTGTATATATTTTATTATATTGATAGAATTTTATCCCTCTTAAAAAAAAAAAATTTAAAATAAATATTACAAACGAAAATTCCCCGTGTACGTCTGTCACAACTAATTGCTTTCAAAATACAATTTTCCCCGCGCATTGCCACGAGTACCACCGGGCGATCCCTCCAAAGAACGAAAAGCAAACATGCCCGAAACGGAGCCGTGGGAAGCACTCGATGTAGACGATTCAGACGTCCCCTCTCTCCTCCGCCCTTGCAAGAACCTCCACAACCACCAAACCAATCACCCCCAAATCACCTCACAGTCGCTCTCCAACTCAATCCTCCAACGCTGTTCTCAACTCCCACCCTCTCAACCCACCCCCAATTTGCCAACTCAAACCCTACCCTCTCTCTCTCCTCGCCTCATTCCAGGCCCCGCCGGGGCCGTTCAGGCTGCAATGCTCCGTAAAGCCCGCGACAACCAAAGCTTCTCCTGCAGCGAATTTAACCCTATCCCAACGCAGGAGTATATAAGGAGGGCGGTGGAAAATCCGGAGGACGATGATGATTTCAAGATGAATACTTGGCTTTGGGCTACTGAATATCTTCGCAGCGAAGGTACTGGTGGTCTTTGTGGTTTTGATTATATAATATGTTTGGTGGGGATTTATTTTTTATTTTATTTTTTAATATTTTAGGTGTGGTGGATGGTGGGGTTTATTGTACACCTTTGAGCTCTATCAAGAAATCCGAAGGCATTGGCAAGGTTGATAAGGTATTACACATCATCATTGGATTGACTCAACTTAAACGTATACAAGTGTGTACTTGTAGGCATATATGTCATTTAAGGATAAGGAAATACCAGTTTGTGTATGCTGTATGTATGTATTTATGGTTGTGAAATACATTGATGATTCTTTTAGTTGGCTCTTCGTTTTGTTTTGGCTCCCAATTTTTCTATCCTGACACGTAAGTCCACGAAGTTGTTGATCTGTTGTCAAATGATCCAATTGCCAATTTCTGTCCAAATGATTGATGGAAATGGACTGTGTTTCTTTTCATGATGGCTGCCACATGTTTATTTCCGCGAATTGTTTGAATGAAATTTAGAATCAGAACATTTAAAACCATAATGAGCACTTTGTAGACTAAATCGCCAGGAATAAAAGATTAGGGACCAAAACAAGACCCAGTGCATGCTAAAAGGATCATGGTTGTATGGAGTATTTTTGTTTTGTATTTTGTCGGTGTATTTGTGCAGTTCTCTATGACTTGCTCTGTTGTTGGTGTGTGGTAGGTTGTGGCTGTTATCAAGTCTTCCACACCCAATGGCCTTGGAGATATGATGGTGACTCTAAAGGTGACAAACAAGACAATATGGATGTTGATGTCCTCTGAAATAGGCCATTGGTACTGATTTGAGTTAAGTTTTGAATATTAGGATCCTACTGGTACAGTTGATGCTAGCATTCATCGGAGAGTCTTTTCCGAGCTGGATTTTGCAAAGGACATATGCGTCGGCTCAGTTTTGATACTTCAAAAGGTATTTCTTCTCATTGGATGATTGAAATTTACTTACACCTTGCTATTAATATTTGCTTCCATTTGATATTTAAACTAGATTATTGTATTTTAAATGGAGACCTTCCACTGATGACTGTTTATGAGTGATATTTTTAGGTTGCTGTTTTTATCCCTTCACGTTCAGCACGTTATCTCAACATATCACTCAACAATTTGGTAAAGGTGCTTCTCTCCCTATTCTACTGTTAGACATGCTACAATGCATATTAATTAGCAGTACTATAGGAATTTTGATTATTGAAACTACATCCGCAGTAAATGATTTGTCTTATGTTAGTTATTTTTCTTCACTTTGGTAATAGTCTTTGGCTAAGTCAAACTACATTGTGCCTATGGATAAATTTCACCAAAAGCAAGTTAGCTTATATGTGAAGAAACATAAATTTGATATGCTTCCTAGCAATTTGAGTTGAATTTTTGCAAGATCTTCAAAGTATTGGTCACTAAGCAAGTAGAATTAGTTTTAATGAGTTAACGGGTTTTAAACAAAAACACGGGTTTTAGATATATGAACCTTGTTCTTAGCTTTTGAAGATCTTCGAAGTTTAGCTTAGCTAACTGTAAACACGGGACAAAATCTTTGACTTTTGTAATGGGAATTAGACATTCAAAAGAAGATTGAATCCCTCGTTGGATAAATATATCTGTCACTACTTACTCCCTTGACCTTGAATCAAAATGAATGACGGTTACCAGGTGGGATGTTATGATGGATCGCAATCCAAGTTTGATGTGTGAGTGATACAGTTAAGAAGTAAAGGTTACAATATAATGTTAGGAGAAATGGAGAAGAAGATAAAGAGGGAGGAAGAGAATGAGAAAAGATGAGAATAATTTGTGCAAAGGCTATGTTACCCTACACTATTGTCCTTACTCTAGGAGGAATACGAACCAAATCCCATGTGTCATTTTTCTTCAAGACTTTCATTTTCTCTACCATAGCTTTTCTCCGCTCAAAGTTAGTGAGAGCTTCTTTTCAACCTTGAGGAATGAACACAGAAGATAGGGCAGAAACAAAAGTACGATTGGATGGAGACAAGGAATTATAAGAGACAAAATTAGAGATAGGATATATGTTGTGTACAAGCTCATAACACCTTTTCTGACTACAATAGGAAGATCAGAGTCATGAAAAACTAGATTGTCAATAATAGGAATAACATCTAGAGGTTCATTACCTGATAAATCATTGAATGCTGTAACTAGAGGTGAGGAATCCGATTGATGTGGCGGCACATGGTTAATCTGTACTTTTTGACACTGAGAATAAGTTTTTAGATTATTCTTGTGAAGGTGAACACCATGTTGATCACTACAATCACCTTTTTTCTCCGTAAGTTGTTGCTTGCCCTGACTAACATTCAACTGAACAGGCAATTGAATAAGAGGCTCCTGACAAAATATCCCTTACCCTATAGTCGTATTCTCCCTTTGAAGAGATGTCTGGGTTGTAGAAAAGTAGGACTCTGTTAAGTTTAGAGTAGAGACAGACTTAACACAATGTGAGAAAGGCAAAGAGAGTTTTTTGGCGTACCTTACATCTCACTGTCAACTTGTATTTATAGTTATTGAACAAATATGTAAATGACAAGTATACCCTTTGGGTGTTATACATAATAAGTGTAAACCCTAAATAATGTAGTAATACTCTTAACACACTCTCTCAAGCTAGAGTATATATATCATATAATCCAAACTTGAAATAGATAACTATAAGACGAGTACGACTCAATGTTTTGGTGAACATGTCTGCAAGTTGAGCCTTAGATATCACAAATGGAGTTGTAATATCTCCATTAGTATTTTGTCTCGAATAAAGTAATAGTCGACTTCAATATATTTGGTCCTTTCACGAAATACTGGATTAGCAGCAATACGAAGAGCTGTCTAATTATCACATAATAACTGTAAGAGAAGTTGAATTGGAAAGCCAATTTACCGAAAGAAGTGTAGTTACCATGTCAACTCAATAGTTGTATGTGTGATTGCTATATACTTTGTCTCAGCACTAGATCGTGCTACTACTGTTTGCTTCTTACTTTTTCATGAAACAACGTTACCTCCCAAAAAAGTATAATAACCAGTGGTTGATCTTTGATCAGAAGGAGAATCAGCCCAATCAGCATTTGAAAAATCTTCTACCTTGAGATGTTTATTAGCTCGATCTAACAACCCAAGACCAAGAGCATGTTTGAGATATCAAAGAATTTAAGGGCCTGTTTGGTTTGGATTTCAAAAAATAGTATCCGAAAATAGTTTTTGATAAGAATTTTAAGAAAGTGGTTTTGATATTTTTTGAGATAAAAAATTTGTTTGGTTAGATGATTTCAAAAACAATTTTACAATACAGAAAATAGTAAAACCTGTTTAGACAGTCTAAATATATATTTGAACAGTAATTCAAATATTAATAAAAAAATATAAAAACATTATTTTTATATTGACAATTTTATAAAAAAAAAAATTCAATAAACCAAACTTTAAAATATATATATATATATATATATACACACACATACAGTATATATACATATACCCATATCTGAACATCTAAAATTGTTTTCCTTGTTTCCAAAATTTTTAAAGAAAACTCTAAAAACAAGCTATACTTGTTTTTTGTTTCTTTAACTCAAATCTTATTTTTTCTCAAAATTTAGAGAATAAAAATGATAAACAAACACGTTTTGGGTGTTTTTGAAATTTTGAGAACAAAAAACTGTTTCCGGATCACAAATCAAACATGGCCTAAATGACTTTATCCCATAAATTAACTTATCACACTGACTACATAGGTAATATCTGGTTGGATAATAGTGAGATAATTAAGTTTCTCAACCAACCTGTGGTTTTGACTTGGATTCTTAAACGGTGGACCTCATCCATCAATCACTTTTGATTCGGATCCATAGGAATATCAACTGGTCTATCACCGGCAAATCTACTTCTTTGAGCATGTCGAGTGCATATTTCCTTTGAGATAAATAAATACCCTGCTTAGATCTGACAACTTCAATACCCAAGAAGTACCTGAGTTTTCCCAGATCCTTAGTATGAAATATGGATTGCAGAAATTTTAGTCCAAAGAGAAGTGTAATTGATAGTTTTATTATTATTATTATTTAATTTATAAGTATTTGTTTGATTAGGAGTAGTAATTAGAATTTGATTAAGAAATTATTATAGAGTTTTAGTAGTTTAGGAGTTTAAGAGTTTGATTATGAAACTCTTTTAGAATTTTAGTAAGAAAATAATTTTTATTTTGGCAGGCAACTAATGGTGTAACCCCAACTATTTTTAATTAGAGAGTGATATAATAAAAAGTGTTTATCTGTAGAGAATTTTGTATGTTTTTTGACCTAATCCTTGACATATGCTCTTTCTTAATGCATTTGTTTAGACAAAGACTCGGTTTTTCCTATTTTTGATAGTTTTGGTGGCTCTGACACCACTGGTTTTTTACATCTATAATGGTTTATGTTTGACATTGTGTTCTTTTTTTCCCCATTCGTTGGCATTGGAAAATGTGGAGCATTATGCCTTCTGACTTGCTATGAGATGCTTTGTGTTGATTTTAGTATATGTTTGATGGCATTTTACTTTCAAATGTGACAATATTAGATTGAGTACATACTTAAGCTATGCCTTGATCTTAATACCGGATGTGTCATGATTCAACTAACTTTCGCTTGGAAGTTAGTATTAAATAATGTAGATGACCACAAATTATATCACTTGGTTCTCTAAACTATAGGCAATTGCTTTTAATAAGCCATCTATGATGAGAAAAGGCAAGCATGAAAGGTCAATAAATTGGAGAATTTTATGTGTGAAAAACATTTTACGTTATAGAGTGCCTAACTAATTGGTTAATTTTTTGAAAAAATTTGTTCCAAAGGCTGGCATGCAATGGCCAATTGTGCGAATTGGTGGTTCTTGTCAAACTAGGTTGATGTTTGTCATGATAGAAATTCAACCTTGTAGGAGAGGAACCATTGGTGTGAACAATTTGTTATCTACCTGAGGTTTATGTGGGTTTGGAGACTTTGAACCATCATACTACTTAATAATTTACAGATGCCTTTGATTTTTTGTTTATGTTGACATTTAATCACACATAACACATAATGGGTTTTTGATAAAACTCTTGAAGAACCCAAAAAATAATGACCGGATTGTCTCTTGTTACTAGCTCGAATATGCTAGTCCCGAATCACAATCTCGTCAAGGCGAAGGAGTGGCTATTAGAGTTCCTCTTTGTAATCCCACTTTCACAAATCTAAAGGCCGTTGGTGATAGTCCAAAAGAGATAATATGTGTAGAGAGATGTATTGTATGTTCCTCTTAGATGTTTGGAGACATATATTTATATATGGTTGTAACCACTTAGATAGACATGATTTCATAATCTCCTAAACTGATTAGGAGATAGAGATATATCTTCCATAATCTCCTAAACTGATTAGATGGAGACAGATCCCTAACTAACCACCAATTACTGGGTGAAGCCTAGTTGCCCCATGTGGGCGGATCAAGGTTCAAGTTTACGTCCAAATACCGACTCATAAAATACTAACATTTCCCCCTCACCCACATAGGACAAGTCATCTCTCAAAAAACTCTCTGACTCATCTCCTCATACAGAAAATGGAACGTGCGACCTCTTAAGAAGCATATGCAAACAAGAGGAGTACTATGTCAAGTTATCACCAAACTTGTCAGATTTGCTCAATGACCCTCAATGGAGAGGTCCTTTTCTTATATAGAAGTCATTTTCCCTAATTACAATATCTCCTAACATTAACCATCCTAATTACAACATCTCCTAACATTAACCATCCTAATTACAACATCTCCTAACAATAGGCATTGACCTCTAATTCTAGAAAGATATTTACAGATTTGTTTCCTAAATAACTATACAACAATTTATGGTAGGTTTGACAGATTTGTTTCCTAAATAAATATAGGACAAATTATGGTAAGTCTGTTGTATATCCTACTAACAAAACTAACATAGTACATCACTTGGAAGCATCTCGTACTACCCTAGACCATTCGATTACACTTGATATAGCACTCTTAACCCCTCATAATAAGCAAATGGTAAAACCCTAACTATGTAATGCACTCATGACTTTATCGAAAAAACAAATACGACAAAGTCCCCCAAGCAATGCATCACAAAACAT